AGAAGTTTTTCCTCAACTCAGTGCAAAAGGGCTTACCCCTAATTTTAACAACAACAACAACAAGATTCCATTTATAAAGCGCCTTTCACGTCAGGAGGACGTCCCAAGGCGCTGCACAGTTGGGTCATGACCCGAGCATTGGGGGGGAAATGGTCAGGGTGAGGGGAGAGAAGGGAGGGAGCGAGGAGGGGGGAAATGGTCAGGGTTAGGGGAGGGAAGGGAGGGAGCGAGGAGGGGTGAAATGGTCAGGGTTAGGGGAGGGAAGGGAGCGAGCGAGGAGGGGGAAGAGAGTCGAGAGGGGAGCTGAAGGCACGGTCAAAGAGAAAGGTTTTGAGACCGGCCTTGAAGGAGGAAAGGGAGGAAGCGGCGAAGGCACTGGGGGATGGAGTTCCAGAGCCTGGGGGCTGAGAGGCTGAAGGCCCGACCACCGATGGTAGGGCGGTTGGGGCGGGGGACGTGGAGCAGACCGGAGCCAGAGGAACGGAGGGTACGGGCAGGTAGGTAGGGGGATAGTAGGTTGGAGAGGTAGGAGGGAGCAAGGCCGTGAATGGCCTTGTAGGTGAGGATGAGGATCTTGAAATCAATCCTCTGGGGGATGGGGAGCCAGTGGAGGCGAGCGAGGGTGGGAGTGATGTGGTCCCGAAGCCTGGTGCGGGACAGTACACGAGCTGCAGAGTTCTGAATGACCTGCAGTGTGGAGGGAGGTGGCGGGAAGGCCGGCGAGGAGAGAGTTCCCATAGTCCAGCCTTGAGGTGACAAAGGCGTGGACCAGGGTTTCAGCAGCGTGAGGGGTGAGGTAATGCCGTAGTCTGGCGATGTTCCGGAGGTGATGGAAGGCGGTGCCAGTTGTGGTGCGGATGTGAGGGAGAAAGGACAGCTCAGGGTCGAACAAAACGCCGAGGTTCCTGACTGGCTTTGAGAGGTGGAGAGTGCAGCCTTGGATGCTGATGGTGTCAGCGCCTGAGGTGCGGAGGCGCTGACGTGAGCCAATCAGGAGGGCCTCGGTTTTTCGCACGTTGAGCTGAAGAAAGTTGTCTCTCGTCCAGGACTCGATGTCGGACAGGCAGCTGTCAGGACATCGGTGGTCGTGGAGTTGAGAGTAGAGGAGGAAAGGTAGAGTTGGGTGTCATCCGCATACATGTGGAAGTTAACTCCATGTCTGCGGATGATGTCACCAAGGGGGAGCATATAGAGGGTGAAGAGGAGGGGACCAAGGACAGAGCCCTGAGGGACACCACATGAGACAGTGCGGGGGGTGGAGGAGAAGCCATTCGTCGAGACAAAGTGAAGACGGTGAGAAAGGTACGACCTAAACCATTCAAGGACAGTGCCTTGAAGGTTGAGGTGGGAGGACAAGCGGTGGAGTAGGATAGCGTGGTCGACCGTATCGAATGCTGCCGATAGGTCGAGGAGGACGAGGAGACAGAGGGAGCCCTGGTCACAGATGGTCAGGATATCATTGGTGACCTTGACCAGGGCAGTTTCTGTGCTATGGGCAGCACGGAAACCTGACTGAAGGGGTTCGAAAAGAGAATGGGTGGAAAGGAAAGAGCGCAGTTGGGAGGCGACAACTCTTTCCAAGACCTTGGAGAGAAAGGGGAGGTTGGAGATGGGCCGGTAGCTTGATAGCTGCGACGCATCAAGGGAGGGTTTTTTCAGGGTGGGCGTGATGATGGCAGTTTTTAATGGAATGGGGACAGAGCCAGAGGAGAGGGACAGGTTTTAGGGATAGGATGAGTTCAGTGACAGAGGGTGGGGAAACGGGTACGAAGGTGTGTAGGGGAGGATGGGTAGGAGTCGGAGTGTGGGAGGGAAGGGGTGGGTGGTGGGTGGAAGTTGGAGGGGAAGTGACCGCGGAGCGGATTCCCTTGATCTTGGATTCAAGGAAATCCAGCATCTCCTCGCAGTGAAGGTTGGAGGAGATGACCTGCGCGGGGTGGCGGGGGGGACGGAGGAGTCGGGTTGTGGTGGAAAACAGTAGCCTGGGGTTGTTCTTCGCCTCCAGGATTATCCTGGAGTAGAAGGACGACTTGGCCGAGGCTAGAGTGGAGCGGTAAATTTTGAGGAGGTCCAGCCAGATTTGTCGGTGGACCGTTAGGCCAGATTTGACACAGGTGCGTTCAGCAGCCCGCACCTGGCTTTTCAGTGAGCGGAGGTGGGTGGTGTACCAGGGGGAGGAGCGGGAGTAGGAGACAGTGCGGGAAGTGATGGGGGCAAGAGTATCGAGTGTGGAGGAGAGGGTATTGTGGAGGAGGGAGAGAGGAGAAGAGGGGTCGGTGAGGGTTGAAGGCCAGAGGGAGAGGAGTTCAGAGGACTCCAAGGCATCGGTTAGGGATTGTGGGGGTAACTTCTTCCAAGGGCGGTAGAAGATGGTGGTGGGTCTGGTGGAGGTGGGGAGGGGTTGGAGGTGGTGAAGGAGATGAAGTGGTGGTCAGAGATGGCCTTGTCGGTAATAGTGACATCCGAGACACTGAGGCCCCGGGTGATCACCAAATCGAGTGGGTGGCCGTGACTGTGAGTGGGGGAGTTTATGTGTAAGGAGAGGTTGAGTGAGGAGAGCAGGGAAGAGAAGTCTGTGGAGATGGAGCAGGAGGGGGTGAAGTGTAGGTTAAAGTCGCCCAGGATGATGAGGCGATCAGAGCAGAGGCAAAGAGATGTGAGAAGTGTTGAAATGTCAGAGATGAAGGTGGGAGAGGTTTTAGGGGGCCGGTAGAGGAGGAGGATTTTAAGGGAGAGGAATGAGGGGTGGGAGAGGGTGAGGTGCTCAAAGGAGGGGAAAGAGCCAGTGGAGTAGGGGGATAGGGCAAGTGGTGTCCTTGAGATAAGGGCAACACCACCGCCACGGCGGTTGGGGCGGGGGATGTGGTGGGAGGTGTAGCCGGGTGGCGTGGCCTCCGTGAGGGGGAAGGTGTCGCCTGGGGTGAGCCAGGTTTCTGTTAAGGCCATGATATCAACGTTCTCATCAAGGATGAGATCGTTGATGACCAGGGCCTTGTTGCAGAGGGAGCGGACATTTTGCAGTCCGATGTGGAGGGAGCGGTTGACAGAAGGGTGTGTGGGAGGGGAGGGGGGTCCAGGTTGTGAGGCAGGGGTGGGGGAAATGGGGATGAGGGAGGAGAGGTTGACTCCCCGGGTCTGTGTCCGGGGTGGGTGGCGAGTGTGGTGGGGAATGGGGCAGTCGGTGTGGCTGCTGCTGGACAGCCAACGCCGAGTGCCGCGGTGAGCCCGGCGGAGGATTCCCAGGCTGGAGCAGAGGGAGGTTGTGGGAGGGTCAAGTGGGGATAGAAGACGAGAGGGACGGAGAGAGAGGAGGAGAGAGCGGGAGAGATGCAGAGGGGGGAGGGTTTGGGGGGAGAGAGGAGGGGGCGGGAGGGAGGGGGTGAGGGGGCTCGGGTCAAAGCGGCAGCCATAGTGCGCACGCGGGGACCGGGAGCGAGCGGTCAGGTGGATGGCATTATCCCGTAGATTGGGGCAGCGAACCCAACAGGGCCATAGTGGGCTCTGATGTGAGCCCTGGGGGGGGGGGGGGCGCAGAGAGTTTTTTTTGTTTTTTTTTGTTTTTTTGCGCACGCGCACGCACCTGAAAACTAATCTATGACGTCAGCAGTTCCCCCGCTCCGCCCCCACCCCCCCCCCCCCCGGGGCTGAACTCGCTCCCATTCCCTAAGACTGTGACCCCCGTTCATAGTTTCTCTAACCAGGGACAAAGTCTCCCACTATCTATTCTGTCGTGCCCCTTAATAATCTTATAGGTTTCTATACGATCACCTCTCATTCTTCTATATTCTAGAGAATATAGGCCTAAATTGCACAACCTATCCTCATAACTCATACCCCTCATTCCAGGTACCAATCTACGTTGTAACCCCTCCAAGGAGAGTACATCCTTTCTTAAATTAAGGAGACCAAAACTGCACACAATACTCTCGGTGCGGTCTCACCGGGGCCCTGTGCAGTTGCAGTAAGACTTCTCTACTCTTATATTATAACCCTTTTGTAACAAATGCCGACATACTGTTCGCCTTCCCAACTGCTGCTGTACCTGCAAACTAACTGTTTGTGACTGGTGTACAAGGACACCCAAGTCTCTGAACACTGACACTATCTCGTCTCTCCCCTTCTAAAAGATAATCTGCTCTACTGTTTTTGCCCCCTGTGAGGTGAATGACCTCACACTTCCCTACATTATACTTCATCTGCCACCACCTTACTCTCAATCAATAATATTACTCAGAAAAATCAATACTCCCAATCAATCAATCAATCATTCAATAGTATTTACTTATCTCCTCTCTGATCAATGACAACAACTGCTCCTACAGCCGGACTTCACTCTCCGCGATGCCTCCCACCGTTACACCTCTCCATGCCACACACCGTGTCCCTCACCCCCACTCCCTCACTCCCCCTCACCCCACCTCAGCCCCACTCCCTCACTCCCCCCCACTCCTTCACTCCCCCACTCCCTCACCCCCTCACTCCCCCACTCCCTCACTCCCCCACTACCCCTCACCCTGCCTCACCCCCCCACTCCCTCACTCCCCCACCCCCCCATTCCCTCACTCCCCCACTCCCTCACCCCCCCACTCCCTCACGCCCCCCACTCCCTCACCCCCCCACTCCCTCACTCCCCTACTACCCCTCACCCTGCCTCACCCCCCCCACTCCCTCACTCCCCCCACTCCCTCACCCCCCCACTACCCTCACCCTGCCTCACCCCTCACTCCCCCCACTCCTTCACTCCCCCCACTCCCTCACTCCCCAACTCCCTCACTCCCCCCATTCCCTCACACCCCCATTCCCTCACACCCCCACTCCCTCACCCCACCCCCACTCCCTCAACCCCCCACTACCCCTCACCCTGCCTCATCCCCCACTCTCTCACTCCCCCCACACCATCACTCCCCCCACTCCCTCACTCCCCCACTACCCCTCACCCACCCCCACTCCCTCACCCCCCCACTCCCTCACCCTCAAAGGCTAGAAATTCCATTGAGCCTTAAGATGTTAGATTTTATTTCAAAATTAAGATTGTGCAGAATTTATGGAAAAAAGTTCAAGAGTAGGACAATGAGGATGTTTCAACAAAAATATTAACTTCAATCACACAGGAGCTGCATCATTCATTTTTGCTATACAGAGTAAGAATGTTTTCCTGAACACCTTGTGGTTGATGACTAGATGGCTTTTGAATCCGAGATTCCCAATCCTAAATCTCCAGGATATGCAACTAAATTTGGACAATTATTATCATGAACCTCCCGAGTTGGTTCCAATGTCCAATCTTGGGGATAGTGACAAATAAATGCTTTGTTATTCAGAAGCAGATATGGACAAAGTGACAGCAACTGTACAAGACAAAATGTGAGGAGATCAATTATGCCACTTTCTTGAAAGGTTGTTTAAAAATATTAACAGGCAGTGGAACTCAACCAAAGACTGCTCAGTGGAAATCATCAAAAACTCCTTGCAGAGACCAGACACGCTCTCTACAGTCACAAGCCACCCTCCACATTAGTGGAGAATGTACCTCACATTAGTGCTTTGCAAATTTTCCCCCAAATGAATTTGTCTGCAGTTTCCAAAACAAATAAACAAAGTTTCTGTAAATTAGACATATTTGTAAAACTGATCAACAATAAGCATGAGGCAGAAAATGATCATTTAAAAAGATGTATATTATTACCAAAACATAATAAACTGTAGTGATGAGGCGTCAACCAGCAGCAAACTGCTGATTCCATTTATCCATGGAGTGTTCTTTCAGATTTTCCTACTGCAGCAGCACCTGTCCATATGGTATTGTTCACAGCTCATTGGGGAATAAATCCCAGTGAATCCTATTTATTCTGTGACTCCTAAAGTTCCCATTCAGCACAGATGTTGTCCAAGCTCTCTCAGGCAGGCAGATTGGCTCCTCATGTCATATTCAGTGTAAAATGTGATTTAGGTTGTACTTCTCACAGAACTTGTTGGTGAATGGGATGCAGGTGAGATATTCACACCAATAACAGTTGATGGGATATACGTAGAACCAGATGATTAGAGAGGCACCAAGTCCCAGAAAAACCAGAACGGAGACAATAATCAGTAGTCGTTTTCCATATTTATCAACTTTACCGAAGGTAATATATGGTAAGAAGATAAATGAGAGCAGGAGCCCACTAATAAACCCAAAGAGATGTGCAATATTGTCTATCCAAGGCAACAAGCCAAAGATGAAGAGAAACAGAACTATTCCAATCAGCTTCATGAAGGCCTTCCATGGTTTCTCCAGAATTGGCCAACTTTGAAACAATTCCACAAAGAGACAGGCCAACAAACCAAAATGGGAGCCAGCAGGACCCACCTAAAGCAGAAAAAGACAATCACTATTATAGAAATTATACAGAGTTTCATTTTTGATGATCATCCACTTCAATAACAACAAATTACATTCATACCATGATCTTATCAAATGGCGGGGCAAGCTCGAGGGCCCGAATGGCCTACTCCTGCTCCTAATTCTTATGTTCTTATATAGTGCCTTTCACTTTGGAAGAACATCCCAAGGTGCTGGAAGCTTCCTCTCAGTTCTAATTCATATCCCACCAATTGTCTTCCTTCCTCTCCAGAGAACACTGCCTCATGCTGGAGATTTCTACGGGCTCACCCTAGTTGTTGTTGTTGTAGTGGAATCATCTCCACTATATGCCTTCTAAGCCCAAGTGGGTCTGTACTAATTAAAGGGTAACCAGCCCATCTATCTCAGTTTAGACCTCTCTTCAACCTTATAATCCAAAGCCTTATTGGGTAAGGTGCTCTTAGCTCAACAAGTGCCATGAAACTTGGCAGATGCTGTGATAAAAATAATCCTTTCATTTGATAACTAGCCCCTGGGATAAATCGTCAACCCCACATAACTTAGTCACTCACTCAATATAATAATAATAACCAACATCCTGGCTATTGTAGTACTTCGTAATTTCCAGATACTATACTTTGGATAAATAGTCAACTCTGATAAATAGTCATTTGAGCTATTTCCCTTGGGATGATGAGTTACCACATCAGGAGGATGTCTCAGAATGTTCCACAGGATTTACTGTAAGGTGTAGTGGCTGTATTTTTTAGGGCAACCAATTTGAACATAGCAAGTCCACAAACAGTCATCACCAATTGTATTTGTTGGCCAGAAGAAACAACCTTTCTTATGGATTCTGCCTCAAACACCACTCCTGGGAGGTCATTCCATATCCTAACTGCACTGCGCATGAAAAAAAATTGTCCTAACCTTTCTATTTGCTTGTTTACAATCTTAAATTGATGCCCTCAAGTTACTCACCGACCAGTGGAAATCATTTCTCCCTATTGACTATCAAAACCCACATAATTTTAAAGATTTAGGTCACCTTCCTTCCTTGTTGCAGTGGAAAAGCTCCCAGTTCCTCCAGTCTCCACTCACAGACCAAACCACTCATTCTCAGTACCATCCTAGTAAATCACCTCTTTATCTCCTCTATCACCTTAACATCTTTCTTAAAGTGGGGTGATCAATACTAGACACATATTCTAACTGTGCTAATGATGTGTTTAAGTTTAGCATTACCTCCTTGCCTTTATATTCTATACCCTATTAATAAAACCCAAGATTCTATTAGCTTTTTACACAGCTTTGTCCTTTTCACCTTTAAGGATTTATGTATATTAACAACAGAGTCCCTTTGCTTTTCTACTCTTTTTAATATTTTTCCCCCAACATATACTTATTCTCCCTTTTCATCTTCCCAAAATGTATAACCTAACATTTGTCTGTATTAAATTTCATTTGCCATTTTTCTGCCCAACAACAACAACAAATTACACTTATTTTATGTCAGAAAGACTTCCGAGGGATTCAGGGGTTTTAGGACCCCTACTGGGAGTTGGGGGTCAGGAAGGGTGGAGGCTATGGGTGGGTGAGGGTGGGAGCGTGTCCGAAAGTATGGTTGAAGACGGGACTTGAAGAAGGCAAGAGAGGGGCTGAGGCGGAGGGATTGCGGGATAGATTTCCAGAGTGTGGGGCAGAGATGCTGAATACCCGATTGCCAATGGTGGGCGGGAAATGCGGGGGACCTGAAGTAGCCAGTGCCTGCCGAGCAGAGGGAGCGGACAGGCTGATATGGCGTTAGGAGGTCGGATAGTAGCATTTTGCTGCCAGAAATAGAGCAATTTTGGGTGTGACCCAGCAGAACATTGACAAAATAAAAAAAATTCATCTTTGTAACAAACAACAACATTTGTATAGCGCCATTCATGGTAGCATCCCAGAGCATTTGACAGTGACAGAGTCTGGGGGGAGGCGACCGTAAGCACAATCACATTTCTGAGAGTTCCAGAGTTTTGGGGCGCAGTGGCTGAAGGCACGGCCACTGATGGTGGAGCGGAGGGGACAAGGGACAAACAGGAGGCCGGAGCCAGCCGAGCGGAGGCAGTGGGTGGTGGAGTGGAGGGTAAGCAGGTCCAGAGGTGGGGAGGTGCGAGGGCTTGAAGGGATTTGAAAAGGAGTGAGAGGATCTTGAAATCGATTCATTCAGTAATTGGGAGCCAGTGGAGCCTGGCAAGGACTGCGGTGATGGGGGACACAGTTTTGTGCAGATGGGTATCCGGGCGGCGGAGTTTTGAATTATTTGAATTTTGTGTATGGTGGAGCTGAGGGGACCAGCGAGGAGGCCATTGGAATAGTCCAGTCGGGAAGTGACAAAGGCACGGACGAGGGTTTCGGCTGCTTTGGTTCTGAGGTACAGACCGAGGGCGGGCAATGTGACAGAGGTGGGAAAAAGTGGTCCTGGACAGGGAACAGATATGGGGTAGAAAGGAAAGCTGAGGATCAAACCTGATACCTATATTGTGCACGGATTCAGCGAGTCTAAGGGAGAGCCCGGGGAGGTTGAGGAGTTCGGACCTGCAGGAGAGGTTGACGGGAGCTAATGAGTATGGCTTCCATCTTGCCGACATTCAGCTGCAGGAAACTTGTGCTCACCCAGGCCTTGATGGCTGTCAAACAAGCTGACAGGATATCAACGGACGGGGAGTTGCAGCTGGAAGAGGAGTAGATTTGGGTGTCACTCAGTGGAAGTTGACCCCATGTCTGCAGATAACATCGCTGAGAGGGAGCGTGTAGATAAAGAAAAGAATGGGCTGGAGGAAAACTGGCTTTTGCTCTGAAAAGATTGATGCTTCAAGAAAAAAAACTGGGAGTGTGAGAGTCAAGAAGCTGATCCAGAGAACTGCAGCAGGTGAAGGTTACCACAGCAGGATTTCAAACAAAAGCAGCTCCTAAGGAACAATGTCCCTCTGCAAGCAGAAAGTAAAGGATTAGGGGTATCATTGACGTCAATTTACAACACTTGAGGTGAGCAGCTAATCCGCTGCCTGGCAATCCAAGCCCACAGCGCAGCATGTCAGCTGCATTCACACACCAGATAAAGTAGCATGAAAACAATGGGATTTGTCTGGGAACGACTAAGGCAGTGTCTGCTGCCTGCACACAGTGTTATACTAATGAACTAAACTACAGCTTCACTTGCTTTTACTGAAGTAATTAATCCTATTGAACAGAAATTCAGATATTTAAATAATATATGAACTGGGTTTGGTCTCAGTGATTGGGGCTGCACAATCGTCTTACTGTCTCCATTTTCTGGAATCCTAAATACAGTATTAAAATCCAAATGTTGCAAAATCTCTGATTTATTTTATTTTCTCCAGTTTTCTTTTGCAGGAAAAACCCTGAATTATTTAATTTGTTTCACTAACAAACTCAGTTAGAACACTGGATTAATTTCCCTGCAAAATATACAGTCAATTCACTTTGCAGTATATTTTGTGAAGCGCATTGAGACGTCTGGAAGATGTGATAAGGCATTATATCAAATGCAAGTATTATTATTATTAAATGTGAGGTGTTTGCACACAGCATGGAACTACACGCAATCTAGGGTTAGAGAGACAGATCATTCAAAAAAGAAACATGGATCCACATTGAAACATCAATCTTTCATCAGAACAAATAAACTGATGGTGCAATCTTAAAGGGGGTGAAGGAACAGAGAGACCTGGGGGGTCATATCAGTAAATCTTTGAAGGTGGCAGATCAGGTAGATAAAAAAGCATATGGGATACTAGGCTTTATAAATAGTGCATAGAATACATAGGAAGAGGCCATTCAGCCCTTCAAGCCTGTTCCACTTTTCAATTAAATGATGGCTGATCTGTACCCCAACTAACTTTTCAATTCCAATTTCCCGCTTTCTCCCCAAATCCCTTAATCCCTGACCTACCAACAATCTATCAACCTCAGCCTTGAAGGTGTGGATGGATCCAGCATCCATGGCCTTTTGGGGGAGAGAATTTCAGATTTCTACCCCCCTTTGAGTGAAAAAATGCTTCTTGATTTCACTCTTAAATGGCCTGGTTGTAATTTTAAGACTATTCCCCCTTGTTTTGGATTCCCCACCAGAGGCAATAGCTTCTCTGTATCTACCCTATCAAATCCCTTTATCATCTTAAATCCCTCAATCAAATCCCCCCTCAACCTTCCAAACTCAAGGGAATACAATCCAAGTTTAAGCAGCCTTTCCTTATAACTTAACCCTTTTTGGCCTGGTAACATTCTGCTGAACCTGTGCTGCACCCCCTCCAGGGCCAATATATCTTTCCTGAGGTGTGGTGCCCAAAACTGAACCCAGTCTCCAGATGGGGTCTGACTAACACTATATCCTCATCCTCCTTGATCTCTCTATTGCTATATCCTCATCTATCCTCATCCACCACCTCTCCTCTCACCTCAACCTTCACGACACTGTCCTTGATTGGTTCAGATCGTATCTCTCACACAACTCACACTTCATCTCCTCAAAAGGCTTTCCAGCCCCCGGACTGTCTTGTGTGGCGTTCCTCAGGGCTCTGTCCTTGTTCCCCTCCTCTTCAATATCTACATGCTCCCTCTTGGTGACATCATCCGCAGACATGGAAGTAACTTCCACATGTATGCGGATGACATCCAACGTTCTCTGCCTCCACCCTCGACTCCAGGACCCACTGCGGTCCTGACAGAATGTCTGTCAGACAACAAGCCCTGGATGAGAGCGAACTTTCTTCAAGACTGAGCTCCTGATTGACTCCCGTCAGCGCCTCCTCACCTCAGGCGCTGACAGCATCACCATCATGGGGCTCACTCCCCTTTGCTAAGCCAGTCCGGAACCTTGGGGTCTTGTTTGACCGTCAACTATCCTTTCTACCCCACATCTGCACCATGACCTGCTCTGCTTTCCCCCATCTCCGCAACATCACCCGACTCCACCACTGTCTCACACCGCAGGCCATCGA